GCTCATTTCCCACTTGTTTCTACCTGTCTGAGATGTTCCAGTTGATTTCCAAACGGCATCATATAAGATAGTGTTACAGACAACGTACAAACGTACAAACGTACAAACAGACAAACGGACATTTGCGGTTTATATATAGTAAGGATTGGGGCAAGTTCCCGTTTGAGACCCATTTTTGCTCCTTCGCTGTGCCCGACTTGGCGAGGCTAATGCAGTCCGCCGGAAAACATTCTGTAGGCAACGTACATTTCAGCGTTTATTTCCTGCTCTGCGCAGAACTCCACTACTTTCTCTAGTTAGGCAAGCCATAGAACGGGCTCCGCGTTGCTTTAAGTTTGTCCAGCTGGTCCTTGCACATATTTGATATAGCCGCATCCCAACCGTTTACTCGAGAGAATGAACTCGATTCCGCTCTATTGTTGGATGTAGCGTTAACCATAAACTATCCGTTTCGTTTTTACCAATTTTTTTACCTGATTCATAGGTGTGGTTATGCCTTTTTCGCCATTAGCGATCTTCGTAGCAATTCGGTTACCGTATATTTCTCTAACTCAGCAGCTGTAATTTACCATATGAACTTCCTTTTTGTGAAGAACTTGTAGTAGATTGTTATGTCATTGACAATAGCCAGGTGCAGGACCGCTCAAATTTATCGTTCGTGGAACCGGGGTACGAACGATTTTTATCTTCACGGTGAACGCTGATTCTTTTCACAAGATCGCGAAGGCAAAACTATTCATTCGGCGTGTTTAGTCTTCAATGTTCATCGTTGTAAATAAGCTTGACACCTTGAATCCTTTTATACTAATGCATATGAAAATGTTTCTCTCGACCTTAACACACCATCGATTTAACGGAACCTGGGCGAGGGTTCTAGGCTTCACTTCTGGTTCATTATCAGTGAAACTTCGGCGATGTCTATATATGGTTGTTTCAACCAGGATTCTGCAGGAATATTGATCTATGGCCGTCCTGAGCGCACTCGCAACTCGCATTCTTAATCAGTCTTAATCTTAGTTATCCATCCCGTCACAGATAGAGTAACAACAGACGATCCACTACGATAGACTCATAAGTTCTGGTATCGGAAAAATATTTGGCACGAGGAGAGAAGGCTCAAATTATCCTCTCGATCAGTTGTGCTCTTACCGCACCTGGGAGCCTTTCTAGATGCCAAAAGTTCAATTATGGACATGCAGATTAAGTACGCTTATATAAACGCCCCAGACTACCGCTATCTTTCGAAATCTGGCCTAAAAAATCTTTACTACTGAAAACGGGCTTGTGTCTGTCCGTCTATTTGTCCCAAGATTCTTCAAGGAAGTATCTGAAGAGACCGCGTCAACTCGTGAAGGATGGGGCAATGGGAAAACCTCTTGATTTTGTTTCAGAAAAACCCTGAAAACTAAGAAAATAGGCCGAGGTCAGGAATGGGTCAGCAAATCATATGAAGGAGATACAACGTGAGCGGAGAGTTCTCGAATTGCATAAACCCATAACCCTCAACAGCCGATAGAGATATTCTTAAGCGGGAACTCAGATTGAACAATTCATCTCTGTGGGATGTGTTCTTTGTTGTGACGCATGGCTTGGTGTGCAAAGACCAACTGGTAATCCTATAATTTGCTTCTAAACCTCTGTTACAAGAATAAAAAGGATCGGATAGGATTCCAGCGTTTTCCTCGAATTAAGCGAGAAAGACGCAATTCTAACTTATTTACTATCCAATAAAATATTCTCATACGTCAGACAGCGAAATCCCGCCCCTCAACTTTAGCGGCTGATGAAACATTCAAGCCAATTGAATCAAGGAATCAAGAAATCATTAAACATCACATACAGCATCGTCAGTGGCACCAGGTGTGTCCGGCATTGTATCGTAGTGACAGTTAAGCATTAGTGCTTGATTGGTCGGACCAGTCTTCGGACCAATACGCACCACAATGTTTGTAATTTTGTGGTAACAAAGAGTAAAGCTCGAAAGGAATTTGAGATCGAAACAGCCAGATGGGCGCTGAAATCAAAGCATTCTCTATATTACACTTCAGAGAAACTA